CCCGGAACATTTTACGGGGGCGCGAAGCGGGTCCGGGTGGCTCAATGCACATGGACAAGAGCTCGCCTTGCAGTGGTTCCGCGTGGGGCATTCACTTTACCATAAAGGAGCACGTCGCCGAAGCTACGAAGTTTACTCACCCAGCTGACACGGCAAATCCAATCCCTGACTGCCTCAGGAGAGCTGTCTTTGCGCTGGCCACTAAGGGCTACGTGCAAACTGACAAGGATCGACGTTGCAAGCTTGAGGAGCTTAAGGAGGTTTCAGCTAAGCTTCATAGTGGCGTTCTTGAACCAGGTGTGAAAAACTTCAGGTACCTTGTTGAGCTCACGGGGTTTGAAGATTCTTCGGTGTGCGAGTCGCTCGAGAACGGGGTCATGATGGTTGGTCCTGAGCCTGAGTCTAAGATTTATTCCAAGCGGCCCAAGCCAATGTTGCTCACGCCGCAGCAGCTGGACGATCAAGCTGTGTTCAGACGGAAGGCAACGATCCACAGCCTTTCTCCTCCTGCGTCCGAAGAAGAGAACAAAGTCTTGTTCGACGAGACTGCTGATGAGGTCTCAAGAGGGTTTCTAGAGGGGCCGTTTTGCTCGGAGTCTGAAATGACCGAACGTCTTGGCACTGATGCCTGGAGTCCCAGCTCTCGTTTCGTGATCTTCCAAGGAGAGGAGAGAAAATCCCGTGTGATCGACAATTTGAGGGACTCGGGGATCAACGCATGCTTTGGCTCATCTTCGTACTTGTCGATGCATGACACAGACTTCCTGTCTGCGCTGTATCTGTTCATAAGTGATGTTTGGTCCAACAAGAGTTCAGTCCGTGTCAAGCTTGCAGACGGATCCGAGCTTGAAGGTAAGTGGCATGCTGACTTTGACCAACAGGAGTGTAACTGGGTTGGCAGATGTTTTGACTTGTCTAAAGCCTACAAGCAAGTTCCTGTCAACAAGGATTCGTTAAGGCACACCGTCCTCGTCACCATGGACATAAAGCGCATGATCAAATTTTACTTGTCTCGTGTCTTGCCTTTTGGAGGCAATGCTTCTGTGTTTTCATTCTGCAAGATATCCCGGGCCATTTGGCACATGCTGGTCAATTTGTTCGGCATTCTGACTGCCATCTATGTTGACGATTTCCCAACATGCGAAGTTCGAGCAATCGGACAGAGCGCTTCGGGGATTGTTACGGGGTTCCTTGATCTACTGGGATGGTCGTACGCGTCAGGGGGCAGCAAGGCACCTGACTTTAGCGCAACTTGGGTTGCGTTGGGAGTCCAATGGGACTTCTCTCACCTAGGGTCGGGTTCCTTTAGGCTAGGCAATAAACCAGGTAGACTTGAGCGCATCTGTGCCATCGCCAAGCTTGTGTCAGACACCGAATCGCCACGAGAAGCTACAAGGCTTTCTTCATGTGTTCATGGAATGCTGAACTTTGCCGGGGGTTTTGTGTTAGGACATGCGCTCAAGCCTGCGACGAGAATGTTCTCTGACATTTCTTGCGGCCGCATAGCGCATGGGTCCGCGTTCATAAAGCATGCCTGCAACATGGTCCATCAAGTTGCGTCTTTTGCAAAGCCCAGAGTATTGTCATCAGCTGATTCGAGGAAACCAATCATCCTTTATACAGACGGGTCTTATGAGGACTCCCTCGGTCGATGGGGAGCCTTCCTCATCGACTGCGAGGACGGAAGTTCTCACGTCTTGCAGGAAAAGGTGCCTTCAAAGCTCGTTGAGAAATGGGTGCAACTAGTCGGCAAACAGATCATATGTGAGATTGAACTTTTCGCGTACTGTTGCGCAAGGGTTTTCTTCAGCGAGATTTTGGATTCGCGGCGCAGCATTGTTTTCATTGACAATGAGTCGTGCAGGTCTTGCGCTATGTTCTCCATGATCTATTACTTGTCTGTCGTCGAGGCACCCTCGCCCTTCGGGGCCTGGTACGAGCGCGTACCTTCAGAGTCAAACCCCGCTGACCTTCCATCGCGTGCTTGTGGAAGTGAGCTCGCCAACATGTTTGGATCGTCATTCACAGACGATTACATCTTGGATGATGTCCATCTTCAGGCTATCTCAGCTGTTCCAGATATGTAGCCAAGGGTCAGCAACCATGCAGCTTGACTAGCAGGTGTTTGCGGCAGTCTCGGGCTTAGGTGCACTTGACGACACGGGGGAAAAATCGGGTCAAGTGCTGACTTGTACTCTTCTCTCTTTTGTATGGGTGTACCAAGCTTGAGCACTGGCCAGCTTGAGAACACACACCATGATGAAATGACATGCGTGCACCATGCTGTGGGTACACTCATCCCACTTGCGTTAATGCTCCAGACTGACTATGCAAGCACCAACGACGCAAAAAGAATCCGCGTGCAGCTGCTGAAGCTGTGTGATTCGATTGGTTATGGACTACTTGTTTGACCTAGATATCATTTATATTTTGACGGGCTACTTGACCTCATTGATTGATTGTACATTTCATTGAGTCAACTGGTACAATTTTGATCTGCATATTCGGATCGCTTTATCGTTGATCTCGAATGATATTGCATTTTCAGTTTGCAAGCTATTTCTTTTTTTAAATATCCTGGGATGATGTGAGAGACGTGTTCTGTCAGCTTGCTGATCATACTGTCTATCCACATCAGGTGTAGCGTCTGCGAAACGCACCCAGTGATAAAAACAAAAAGTGTTGTTGGTGCGTCTTTGTGTTTCAATTTTCGCACATTCACTTCTTTGCAAATTTGTGATCTTTCCAATGCTCTTGGTTGTTGATGATTGTGCGAACATGCATGAGTGCAAATTTCAGACACTGGCTCATTAGCTTGAGTCAAAAATTTGTTTGACCCACCCTCCCAGCCCTGGGGAAAAATCGGGTCAAGTGCTGACTTGTACTCTTCTCTCCTTTGTATGGGTGTACCAAGCTTGAGCACTGGCCAGCTTGGGAACACACACCATGATGAAATGACATACGTGCACCATGCTGTGGGTACACTCATCCCGCTTGCGTTAATGCCCCAGACGGACTATGCAAGCACCAACGACGCAAAAAGAATCCGCGTGCAACTGCTGAAGCTGTGTGATTCGATTGGTTATGGACTACTTGTTTGACCTAGATATCATTTATATTTTGACGGGCTACTTGACCTCATTGATTGATTGTACATTTCATTGAGTCAACTGGTACAATTTTGATCTGCATATTCGGATCGCTTTATCGTTGATCTCGAATGATATTGCATTTCAGTTTGCAAGCTATTTCTTTTTTTAAATATCCTGGGATGATGTGAGAGACAAATGTGGTATCGTGACTAATGTCAAATCAACATTCGTGGTCGGGCAACGTTCGATTCTGTGTGTTTGAGATTCAGGATCTGATGTTACGACATGTTGCATGTGCCTTTTGCAATGCTGCCATCGGCAACAGCAAATCCATGCAGCATTTGGTTCACAGGATCCACGAAAACATGCATAGACCTGAATTTGTAACATAGATCTTTGTTGACGCTTGTAGACCAGCTGGATGTGGTGAACAGTGGATTGTATGGTTGCTACATTTCAGATGCTTTCATGATGGCTCTCATGCTGACTGCGAGACTTTGAGGTGCAGCTGCAATGCTTCTTGTGCTTGGTCAGGGGTGAACTTGTTGTCGATCATGCTATCCATGTTTTTCGGCCCGGGCTTGCAGCCAAGAAGATCACTACTGTTCTGTGTCGTCATTGCCCATCCCACATCCGACATGGAGCCAGGCACAGATGAATGTCAAGTGTGATTTCGAGGCATAGCGCCTGCAAATTTTGGCCAACTCCTCCACATGTCTCAGGTCATGGTGCTGCGGAGCTTGCAAAGGCATCCTCAACCACGGCACTGTTCTCGCGCCGCTGGTATGTCAAACAAAGTACGTTGAGAAAAAAATCGTGCTTGCAACCGCGCAGTCAGCCGGTAACTTAGCAAAGGCATCCTTGCGCGTACGAGGGGCAGCTTCTTGGTGGCGCTGGAGGGTTTCCACTGATGCCTGTTGCATGCGCATGCGGATTCTGTTGTCGCGTCATATTTGCAGGTCAAGTTCCATTCGTGGCGGGCCTCCCCCTTGCGGCCGAGGGAGATGGTGTGTATGCTGGAACTGTCAAGACCCGGGGATAATCAATCTTTAGCATTTACACAGAGTTTCAAGCAGGGCCAACACTCACAGAGATGCATGGGAATGAGGGTGGAAGATGTGTCGCAGGATTGCGCTCTCCAACAAGTTCTGGATGTACTATGACAACATTGTGTGGCTCGGACGATTTTTCAACTCATTTCGGTTCACCAAATTTTCAAAGTATTTAGTGCACTTGTGAGGGGTTGAGAATGGCGGTTGTGAAGCGAGGCTCCTCACCTTGGCCATGCCCGCTGCATTCGTTTGGTTGCTCGGCAGCCAGCACGTCAGCTTGAAATGTGGATGCGTTGTGTGCACTTGAGGTTCATGAATCGTGTCCCAAAATGAGCTGATCTTTCATGGCGCACATCTGCTTGTTTGGATTGGTCCACAAGCTGCCATATGTTGCTATTGTTGCTGTTTGGGCCTGCTGCAAGATGAAATGACATGTTTGAGTATGGACTTCTTTGGCAACTCTTCGGCTTGTGAGAGTAGCGAACTCTCGACTGCGTGGAAACATTTGAAAAAGTGTCCGCATTTGCACAATGACAGCGGATTCAGACTGCCTCCGAAGCCTGTAGGAAGCCTCAGCGCAGCTGTCAGGAGAAGCAGACAAGGCACGCAAAGCAGCTGGCCTCTCAGCAAGGCATCTTGCGACCTGTGATGCAGTTTGCACATTTTGTTTAACTACAAATTTCAGAAGGGTTCCGCGAGCCGCGATCCGAAAGCACCTATCCATCCTTGTTTCAGCATGCAAAGCGGTGGCTGCATGAGATGTGAGTTCATGTAGGATGACTGAGACAGATGAACCGCTTATTTGTAGTGCGAGTTGTGCTGCCTTCTGGTTTCCTTTGGGCCAGGGTTATCAGCCATGGTGTTGGAGAGCGGAGAACAACTTGCTGGCAACCTCATTGAGGCATGCATGGGGGGCACAGGCGTCAAGCTGCTCTCCAAACAAGCAGCTGGGAGATTTGAATTTGTGTATCTTCAGCTGCTTTACAGCAACATACGGCTGCAAGGCTGAGCTGGGTGAATTTGGTCAATTGAGGTGTGCAGTGAGGCTTCTAACTTTGTAAACTGCACTCGGAGGTCGTGGCGAAGGGTAAACTTCTTTCCACCGCAGAGCCCTTGAAGCTGGCCCCAAGCTTATGACACAGCACCCGATGTTCCAACCTTTCAGTCAAGCATGAAGGTGCCTGGTTCAGGCCATGAATTAAATGAGCTTCAGCTGTCAAGGGCGCTTTGCTGCAGGTCCTGCCAGAAGTTGACCGAGCACAGCATCAAGTGGTTTTGCAGGCTTTTCCACATGTGATACCAAAGTAGCAGACTGAGGTCAGGAGGGTTTTTTTCCTCTCCATTCATGGTGAGGCTGCTGTGATTTTGTTCCAGCGCTTCCTTGAGAGTGTGGTCACTTCGTGCGTGCCTTTGCTAGTCCCTGTCCAGCTTGTTCCGGATGTGTCCCGTGGCGCATGAGGAACGACCTTGCCAAACTTGCACAAGTTGTCAGCTTCCCAGAAATTTCTAGGCACCTTTTTGTGCACGGGCATGTACAAGCATGTCGAAGCAGCTCTCCTTACTTGACCTCAACCAGCTCTGATGGAATTTGCTCGAAGACAGCTGAGGTTAAGGAGGTCCTGTTGCCCACACTCGTGAAATTTGATCAGCAGCTCACAGCCCGTCGAGCATTTCAGGCCAGGCGCTGTCAAACTTGTTGGGATCCCTGCAAACTGTCTGTAAGGCAGCTTGTGTCCTGACGCCGCTGCTTAATCGAGCAGCTGTTCTGGCAGCGCAATGCTGCGCCTTGGCAATAAAAGGCTGGACTCCATTGCCGGAACTATCTTGCTCTCACTCTGCTTTGTTGGCAGGACCTTGGCGAGCAGATGTGGTTGTACCATTTTGCGAAGCAGTCTCGGATTTGCAAGAGGTACTTCGCTTAGGCTCTTCACAGGCGGCTGTTCGTTAGCTTAGACACAGATCTTGTGGCAGGTGTTCTCTAGTGCCATCATTGCTCGCGCAGAAAGACTGCGGCCATTTGATGCTTCAAGGTATCCGTCAGCATTTGTTTCACTTTGCAGTGCCTTGCAGTCCTGTGTTGAAGCATGCGAGGATTTTTGCCTCGCACACACGTTTCGATGACTGCCAAGCAGCGGCTGCCAAAGCTGTAGCCACAGCTGTAGCTTCAGGCCCGGAGCTGCTTCGCATTGACCCGAACTGACAGCAACATTGCCGGAAAGGTGTATATACATATAGATCATGGATTGTTACAGTATCCTAATAGTGTAGATTCCCAGGATTTCATACGATGCAGCACTCATGTAATGCACTGATGGAGTATGCGTGGAGCTCGGCGCTGCTTGCTGGTTTTGTCACGCATAGATCCTTACTTGTTCTTTACCTGCTCGGTTCTTTGTTGGGCTTCTTTTCACCCTCCTGCCTCTGTCCCTGTTTTAATTTTGATCTTGGCCTACCTCCTTACCTTCGCCTGCGCCGGGCTTTTGTAAGTCACGGTTTGCGTTACGGGCAGCAAGTCACCTGAACAGGTCCTGACAAGAGAGGCAGACCTTGAGCAAGTCTCATCGGTTTTAACAGTAGTGACAATCCCTGAATGCTTGTGAACTAGAAGCCCTCAGAAGCACTTGGCAACTTGGCACGCAGTGTCAATCACCAGTTTCATGAGAAGAAGCAGACCTTCAGGCAGAACAAGTTGCACTCTAAAGGCAAAAGTTCAAGTCAGCATGACCCATAAAAAAGAAACGCAGCAAGCTTGCAAGTAGGAGCTCCGGCAGACGCAGGGCAGACATTTGAAGCAGATATTGTAGAATTGGTAGACACATGGGTGACATTCCTTGTGCAGGCATGCTGCTTGATGTGTCCAGCTCGGATCTTGCGAGGACCGCGCACAAGAATGTACCATTTTTCTCTTTGACAGCTGATGCCGGAGGTTGGCGCCACTGCCAGCCAAGCCGGTCCACCGCTGGCGCTATGATCAGCTCAGGCTGGTGTCTTGGGCTTCCCTCTTGTTGCATGCACGGAAGAAATCAGCGTAAGCCCAACACCATGTGGCTGATTTCCATGAGGCAGTTCTGGGAGGCCAGCTGCTCTCAGTATTCTGGTGAAGTTCCCGTGGATGCGGCCTTCTCAGCTTTTTTCATTTTCAGGCTTCTTGAAAGCGGCAACCATTCTGACCGACTTGCATTTTGGATTGTAAAGCAATGCTGCGGCTTGGGAGGTTCTGGCCATCCTGCTGCTTCAAGCTGCTGGACATTTGGATGCAGATCTAGATAGCAAGCAGCTCCTCTCTGGAAATGACAGGAGCAGAGGCATCCTTAGCGCACAGGGAAGCTCTGCCCCGAGAACGCTTTTGGAAGAACACTCGGTTGCATGTTAGGTTTGCTTCAAATTGATGAGGCCCTCATGCGACGACTACATGCGTGTGCTCACTGTCATGCTGGTCAAGTGTTGGCAACTTATTGTAGATGCGCAGCACGGGCACACATGGCACGTGTTTGGTTCCTTCAAGCTACGTGAATTGCCGCATGTTCCTCCTTCGCAAAGTTTGCCTATGGAATTGAACGCAATGCTGAAATGTGATGCATGTTAAGAAGGTCTGCGAAAGACTCCTGTCTTCCAGTGGACAATCCAGAAGAAGGTTTGCTAGCCCAGGCCAAGGTGAAGGTATTCACATGTCAACCTGCGGCAGTCCCAGTACGCTTAGGTTGGTAACAGGTTGTTTGAAGACCAGGACTACAAGTCTCTGATGCAGGAAGAGTAAGCTGCCAAAATATTGCAGTAAGTGAAGTGGTCTTTGCAAATTAAGTGTCTGCAGGCGCAGCTGTTTGAGTCTGGTGACACTAGAGTGATTTGACCATATGTGCTGCCTGTTGCCCTCGCTCTTCTCACCTTTCAGAGGGCAAAAAACTCGTGTTCTATCAGCCATGCTAAGGCTGGTGGCAGGTGGAAGCTTTCACTATTTCTCTTTTGCGCAAGTGCCAGCTCGCATGGGCATGGAGCAGAACTGCCTAGTCATTCCGCTTGTGTGACTATGGATCTTTATAGCAGCTCTGTCACTTCAGGCGAGAACCAAGCATTGGCTTGTCCGAGAGTTGCCACCGTCCCGAGTCCCATGTGCGGGTCCATTGCAAGAACACAAATTGCCGACAAATCCTGTTAGTTTTTGCGGCCTGGAGATCCTATTTGTGCGAAGGTCAGAGGTGTGCCAAATCTGCCAGGAGCACCTGGGACCGAATCGGGACCCGTGAACACCCACAAATTCGCGTCCCTCCTCAGAAAAAACAATGGTGAGGACGGGCCACAACCTCCCACGTGTCATCGGTGATGTATGCGTGAGCTGACAGCTTTCGCGTGGAAAAGCTGTTGTCTGTGGTCCGTGTTTGCATAATGTTTCCTGGAAATATCAATTGGACGAGCTTTTCAACCTGTGACTGACTTTTGCTGCAACGTTGTTTGCTGCTTGTCCAGAGGTCTGCAGCTGAGCTGGATGCGTGCACACCTGAAATTCGTCGCAGTGGCGGCTTGAAGGCTGACATGGCTGACGTATGTTCATGATGTCATGATGTGTTGGGTACCGCAAGGGGCCGGGGTGTAGCTGGAAGCCTCAGATGCTCAAGTTTGGTCAGCAAAACCTGCCCAGTCTGCAGGCATGGATACTGGCCTTGGCCCGTGGAGGCCGCAGAATCTTTGTTCAAAGCGTGACGGCAAAGTAAAACCAGTATAACTAGCCACTCAGACTGGATCGGACTAAGATGGTCATGTCTGCAAGGCCAAGATCCCCATGCTGGCTTTGCAGCATCTCTCGGCAAAGTCGGAGCAGAGCCAAGAACGGGTTGAGAGTAGCATGCAAACCGAAAGCGGTGGTGCTCGCTGAGGTTATGCCACACTAACACCTCGAGGTGCCAAGACGTGGCATAAACCGTTCCTTCTTTCAGTGGAAGCCTGATTTGTGATTCAAGCGCTGTTTGCCCGTGCTCATCAGATCCCGCTCAAAGGCATCATATAGGTTCCCTGGACGCGATGATGGCTTGAGCGACAGTGTGGCAAACAGCCTATTAAAGGCGCGATTCCTTTTCGTAAGCTTGGTGGAGCAAAGCTTCTTCAGATTTGCCAGAAATGCATGCAGCCGCAGGTGTTGAGTAGTATCGGAGCTGAGAGTTTTTCTGAGCTGCGGTACAGGTGTCGCAGCGGCTGGTCTTGGGAGAGCAGGTTGGCTTCACACGATGGGCTTTGTGTGGTGTTTGCATGCTGAGCATTTGCTTTCATAAATGGCCAGGTGCGCACAGATGGCCGAGATGGACACGGTGTGCAAGCCTGAGCAATCTCAATGCTCATCATTCGGAGGGATATTATTGGTGGGCCCCAGCACCTTAGGATACGCCGCTTCACCTTGCTGCATCGCTTGACTTCAAGAAGTTGCCTGAGCTCTTTGCAACGTACCTTCTCATAGATTCCCGCATCTGGCTTCCAAGGCATGCTCCACTCGGGTCGTTACTTCTTAGCAAGGGCGCGGACAGCAACGCGCAGGACCAACTAACAGGGTGAGGATCTTCATGCCCTTCAGCTCGACGTTAAAAAAGCTGTGCACTGTGTGATCTTGCTGCGTGTAGAATGGTAAACGAATGCTAATCGAATGCCCAGGAAATCTCTCTCATGTCCAAGCGACAAAGAGCTTCAGGTTTTAGAGGGTCCCATGCGCAGAGCCAAACTTTGTGTGGTTCGGACTCATCCATTGCACCATGCTGAACCTTGTAAATGTGCAGGACAGGAACCTGGCCACTCCTCTGCACAAAGCTGCCACAGGCCACAAGCAGTTGGTCCAGGAGATGCGCATTTCTGATGAGAATCCGCGTGAAGGGTGGGTAAAGCCCAAGCTGAAGCTGTGCGAACCAGGAGCTCGTGCACCATGGGGCAGAGGTTGGACTGACACTCAGCAAGACGTGCTCTTTTGGCTTGGTTTGAAATGACTTGGATCCTGGTTCTGTAAGACTATAAGACCATTGGGTCTGAGGCCAGCAAGATCGCTGGAGTTCCACACCTCTTCATCGAGCTGCAGAGAATGGGAAGGTTTGCAGATGGCAGATGCAGATGTGCCCCTTCTTTCGGCCAAGTATCATCCTGATGCCAAGGCCGACATAGCGCAAATCTTGCTTGAAAAGGGAGCAAGCCGGGGCCCAGCATGGCGTCATCGGAGAGATTCACATGAGGTGATCTGATTTAAGGCATGGCTGCCGACGGATGGGGTGCCACCCCACTGCACAGGGCTGCAGCTCGTGGCCAGCTAGTCGGATCCTTGGATTCTTCAAGTGTTTGCGAAGTCTCTGACTACGGGCAGACCTGTTGCGCCACTGCCCTTGTAGGCGGTTGTGGAGACTCTGCTTGCTGGTCGAGCTGATGCGAATGCGGAGGACCTGGTGCTCACTGGTGACATCATGCGCTTATTGCTGGTCGTTGTATACGCGATGATTGGCGGAGGACCGACGAGGCGAGCAGCCCCTTCATTTGGCCTCTGCACGCGGTGATTACGCGGTAGTAAGCTCGGTGGCATAAACAGGCGAGTTCTGTTGATTTTTTCCTTGGAGATGAGGTTGTGAAGCTGCTTCTTGAGCACGATGGCGAAGCCAGGGCTCGAAGCCGCGCGGTGCTTGGTCGGTCTCGTGGGATCGCCCTTTAAGTTCCTGCCTAATGCATAAGATGATTGTTGCCCAAAAGCCGCTAGGCACCAATAAGCTGAAAAGCATTTTCAGCCACCAGCTGTACTGAAGAAGGGAGATGAAGCATTTGGAGGATTTCAGAGGATTGTTGAAGAGGAGGTTGCAAAAAGAGAAGCTATGGGTCTGGCTGACCTTTCAGTCAGGGCCCGTATCCTTTGACAAGGTGTCGGCAAGACGCCGGAAGACTGCGCTCGAGATCATGGTCATATGGACGTGGTGGTTCCCCTACTGACAACTTGGATGTGGAAGTCAAGCAAGATTTTGCCAGCATGTTCATTCCATTGGAGCTCAGGTCACTCTCTTGCAACACCAACATGCGGCCCAGCTGCATTGTCTGCCAAAAAGTACTTGTTCGCATGCACTTTGTCTGCAAGGAATGGATTCCCGCTGTACAGCATTGATTCTGAAATCAGAATGTTTGTTTCACTGTAGAAATTCTTCGGAGGTATCTTCGCGGATAGTTTGCCATTCGAGTTCGAGTCTCGCAGAGACCGCTCTGGTGCCAAGCTGATGCCATGCTGACTCTGGCAGTGGTTGGGCGGCGTGGGCAAAAGCCCATTGTCCGTTTGGGAAGACTTCCTGCGAGTTATAGGTTTTGGACTCTGTGCAGTTCAAGAGCACTTTATGAAGTGGTCAACTTGTACATGCCAGGTCTTGCAAGCAGCTGTCATGTCTGTACGCATCTAGCTCCACTTCGGACAATTGAAGAAGGCAGCACTTGTTCGTTGTCGTTGTACGGCTAACGTCTAGCTATCTCGCGGCTTCATTCTAAGGCAATGTTGTCGGAGGTAAACTTGCACACGAGCTGTCAGGAAGTGTTGATCGTCTACAAAGCTTCGGCCTGTATGCACAGTGCACATCATTCTGCTGCGGCTCCAGCAGTAGGTCTTCGAGATGTGTCACCCTTTAGCTTGCTCCGTTTCATCCCATCCTAAGAGGCGTGGGTGCATGAGTTCTGTGTCCTCACCTGGATCCATCAGATTCCAGATGGTGAGGTACTACCACCATGGACATGTACGAGGAAAGACCGCCTGAAATTTTTACCGGCGGGTATTTCGACCAGGCCATTGGCACGGCCAATAGATGCCAACAAGTATGCAAGTGAAGTACTTTGTGCTTCAGGCAAACATTGTCAACCAGACAGAGGGTCTCCAAGACTTCAGGCTGCAGACGGTCTGCACACCGCTTTGTGTGCTTATGACTTATGAGTCCATCATTGGATCTCGGTCGCTTGGTCATGCTGTCTCTCAATGTGGGCCCCGCAGGGATGATGACAGTATCACGCATTTGACCCATGGTCGATGAAACTGTGGTGTGGGCGCATAGACTCCGCGTTCAGAAAAGGTGGCGTCTAGCTAATGATGTTCCGGTGGCTGGAGTCTCCAGTGTGTGATGTGCGTTGCAACGATTGGGTACGTTGCTGTGTAGCTTTCCAATTGCTGGGCCTCCGTTTCTGCACGTTTTTGTGATTTCTTCCTTTTATTCGAGGTGAGCGTTGATGATTCCTCCTTTGGGCCCTCCAAAACTACAAACACACCCAAATACCAAATCTCAATGCCAGACTTGAGGGTTTGCTGTCTTAAGCTATTCTCTTCCTGCGGCTGTGTCTTTCTTTTCCATATGCCAGGTTATTGCTTTTGCGGAGAAAGTCCTTCTTGCGAGTCATCTCCTGTCGAGAATGGCTAAAATTCAAACAGCTTTCGCGATTCGGTCTGTTACTTTGCAGGCTTCCGAAAGCTTACATTTTTACATCTGTTAAATCGTGACATGAGAGAGGCGCACCTGCCCTACCTTTCCAGCCAGGAAGTACTGGAACAGGCGGCTTCAACTGAACCCAAATCGTGTCCAGAAGTCGCACATTTCTGAAACTTCTTTGAGCATGCCTATCGTCGACTGGCAAGGTTACATACAAATCACTTAAGAGCTGCAGACCCTTTGTCGCATCTTTCTCTTGACAACGTAGCAAAAAGATGTGCTCAAACGCTGTTCTTGCCACAGCTCCATTGCCATTGCGGTGCTCGGTTCCCTGCGTTTGCTAGCCTTTTAGCCTCCCTGTTTCCGGTTATGTTCACTAAACTACGTTTCTCCGAGTTCAAAAATTCTGGCAGGCGGCGGCAAGAAGGCCACCTGATCATCGCAGATGAAGGGCTCTCAGAAGCAGCCAGGGCTACCTGTGCGAACGAATTCACGCATGTGCATGTGTTGAGGACCGGCCTTTGCTGGTTATGTCCTTCGGCCTGAAGTACCAGGGACCGAACCCCTCAAAGTGCGGCACTCAGCGGTGGTTTGGGTGCTTTTCTTTGGCATGTGTGGTAGTAGCTTGAATGTCTGGACATGCCTAGACCTGGATTCCCCAACTCTTCTCCTATACATCCTCCAGCTAGTTGTTGTTACTGACCTTGCATGTAGTTGAAGCTTTCAAGGTACAAAATCGAAGGCAAGTACGACATTCCAGTTGGCTTCAAGGTGCAGACATTGTGCAGATATTGTGACATCACGCAGCCACTGAAAGCTGCCAGTTCAGGTAATCATCAAGTGGGAGGAAGACGAGATTGTCTTCATGACCCGCCAGGCTTCAGCTGAGCTGAAAGTGTTCAACGATCCAAGCATCCCCCCTTTGAACCCTGTAGTTCCAGTTCCCATTTAATTTTCCATTTTCTTATCCATTTCATTCTCCATTATCCCCATATAACCCCAATGTATTCCCATATTCCGCCAGGGAACCTTTGGGCCAGAGTTCCAAATTGTCTACCTGCCACAGAGTCGGGGCCTTGGGGGCCGAAGTGTGTTGGCAGACTTCATGCTGACACTGATGAAAAGGCAGTCACGAATCAAGGTCCTACACCTGAGGACTTCACTGTTTTTGAGTGGAATGCCAACATAGCTGAGATTTGGGACCAGGCCTTGTGCACATGTTCCGTCCATGGATATTCGCGTTGCGGTCAAGAAGCAGTAAAAATAAGGGTTCTTCTGAAAACCCCTGAGCGCGGCTGCAGTTCCTGACAGTCATCGAGGGCAAGGAGGATCGAGACATGAGGTTGTTCAACCAAGGAGCCGGCACAGATTCAAGTTCTTTCCTCGCAGCAACCCGACTAGCGGCTAGTAAGTAGACGCTCGTAGATCGAGAGTCTCAGTGAATGCAGGACCCTGGCGAACATTTGGAGTTACTAGGGATGAGGCCCAGCGAGTTACAGCATGTAAAAGGCGACTGTGTGACGTGGCAGGTCCAGATGGCTCTGAAGCAGGGCACTGATCAGAAAACCATCGTGGATGGTGCCCTGCAAAGTGTTGCGCGGCTTGACTCCTTTCGCGGGGTTGGATTGCCATGAGGTATCCTCTACTGTGCTGACGGCATCGAGCCGGACTTGCAGGAAGAACCTGCTCAAGCTTGTGCGAAGAGTGAATGGCCTAACTGTTGCCCTCAGGAGCACATGAGATACTTGGGTGTAGACCCTGCAACGGACGAGAACATCCTCTGGATTTTCACCGCCTTCAAGGCGAGAGCATGAGTCAGCATCAGTGCAAGACGAATGGAATATTGCTTGGAAGTGCAACCGTTTCAGGAAGAGCCATTGCCTTCGTATTCTGCACAATACGTGAAGGCTCGCACTGGAGCCTTTTCGGAAGGCTTTCTGACAGAGTGCGCTGTCTCAGGATGGCATGGTCTATTGGGTGGACGAGCGCACCAGCGAAGCCACTTGGAAGCCACTCGGCTTCGATGCACCGTCTCATCCTCTTCCGTCTAACTGCACATCCGATACAATTTTACAGGCATCCCCACTACGACAAGTTCCGAAAGATGCTCCAGGCCAGGTATCCCTTCTTTTTCAATTGCCGTAGGAACGCAGCATGAAATACAGCAGGGAATTGAACAAGTTGCCGCCTCTCAAGTTGGCTGTCGCACTAGAGACATTGCGCACGGTGGAGAAGGGGCACAAAGGAGAGGAGAGTTGTAGACTACAATACCTTTGGCCGCTCGTTGTGTCCGTTCAATCGAGAGCAAAGCAAGTGCAGTGCCACCTTTGCGGTGCGAAGCCGCATTTCTGACTAGATCGCTTGTTCAAGGTGGCTCGCAACCAGAAGCCAGTTCCACACTGGAAATCCATCATGGAGTTCAGGTGAGCTGCTGCTACGGATAACTTTCGCTCTGCATCCTTTGGATGAGCCCACATCCATTTGAGCGGAGGATAGAGTTTCTGCTGTCTAACATCTTCACCTGGGAGGCCGAGGTGGGAATCTTCACCTTATGTGCAGATGTTGCTAAGGCTGCTTGGGTGAATTGTCCGCTCAGCTTTAAGACAGAGGCTTCTGGCGAATATCCTCTAGTTGAGACGGTTGACAACGCAGATGCCTCGATACCGCCCTGGCATCAAGATAATCAAGAAGCTATTTTGCTGAGGTCATTGAGATGGCTCGAATATTTGGCGTTGACATCAAAAACGAGCCATACCTGGTGCATGTGCCTCGCTGCCATTTGCAGGGTAAAAGGTCGGATGTGTGCTGCTTGAAGCGTGTGAGGTGTTGAAGCGCGCTCTGCGGCACTATGGAAATTGTGTTAAAGAAAAGCGCAAGGTGAAGGTTCCAGAAGCGTTTGCTTTTGTGGTGGCAGCTTCGTAGCCGCGTGTTCCTGATTATTCCTGACAGTTTGAAGCCGCCAGGACGTTGAGGACTTCCGGAATCTCATGCATCGCTACCGCGACCTGGTCAGTCCACGTCCTGGTATCAATGCCTTTGGCGAACCTTTCAGCATATATGGGCAATCCAAGGCCAGTACGAGCAGGCAATGAGCATTGAGGAGAAGAGGGTTGCAAAGATGAAGATTTGCGCCATGACCTGAGACAGAGGATGCGGACTTACAGCAGTGCGCTCGATTCCCCAGATGTGTTTTTAACCTCAAAATCTAGCGGCATGGGCCGTCCCCACCGCAAGTAAGGAAGAGTTCTACAGGACAGCGCAAACTCTTGCACATTTTCACAACAACAGTTTGAATTCAATGCCCTTCCAAATCCTGTACAACATCATCCTAAATATTCATGAGCCTTATGATGGTTCATGATGGATTTTGGGGGCTTTTCAGGTCCCACAGGGAGACTAGCGGAAAATCCACGGGGGTCTCCCACTGTATTGGAGAGATTATGCAAATGCCAGCACTCACAGTCAAAGAACGGACAGAAGAGCTGCAGTGAAGGATGGCTGGGCTTCAAAACCAGGAAGGACGCAGTCTTAACTCAAGATCAGCGTCTGTGAGGGGTTCTGGGGCCAGCGTGTGGACGCAAAACCGCTCTGTTTCGAAAAGGATTGCATGCGGCCCTGGGGCTGCCGGCCAGTCAGACGGAGGGTTGCTGGCACAGCCGTATGGTGGAAGCAGGGAGAAGATAGGGGAACGTGCGAGGATCAGGGCGTTCGCGCAGAAGCCGGACTTTGAAGTCTGTTTTGCTGGGGCTAGGGAGGCAGAGATAGGCTTGCAAAGGCCGATCGCCTGTTTGGGGTGAGCCATCCTCACAGTTTGGCTGAAAATTCAGCTCTCGTGTGAAGCATTTTTCCAGCTTGTCGACACAATCAACCTCTGAAAGGGAGCATCCTCAGATTTTGGCTTGACATCGAACCCTCGCATGGAGCATCCTCACACCTTTTTAGATCCTCTTCCCTTTGTGGCATGAAGCTAGTAGTTTTCGGGTTTGAATTTTGGCTTGCTGGCTTTTTACAGGTTCCAGCTCGCTGGGCCTCACGGCCGCCAGGCTCATTAGCTTCGTGATTGTTGGCTCTTGATTTTAATTTTTTGGGGTTCGTGGCTTTTCAGTGCGGTTTTTGAGCTTCTTGTGACCTTGCAACTTGTGGGCTTCCCGGTTGTAAATGGCAAATCCCCCTGCCATCCCAAAAGCCGAACATGAAGACTGGGGAACTTTTTCAAGATTTAGATAGAAGCTATGTGCCTCTCGTACATATTTTGCAGATGGGGTGGGCCCAACCTCCCAGCAGTTCTGAAGCCAAGCAGTGCCTCAGCAAGGAACAACATGTTTGGACCGTCATGCATGGATTGCAAACACCCTGCTTGTAAAGAAAACATCAAATGTAGAACATATTGTGAAACTGGAGCAAGAAGCTACATGTTATGATCTTCATCTATGTTTTGCATGTGGGGAGTGGTTGCCTCCCGGAACTCCTCTGCCATCTTTGAAACCAAGCACAGAGCCTGGGAATCCCTATCAACACTTAGCAAGAACCTGCACTTTCTCATCTTCACCCATGTTCTGCAAGTGGAGGGGGGCAGCCCCCCAAAACCCTACACGATGTTTCGCAGCAGACGCAATGCCTGGCAAGTCCCGACAAAGCGTAACTGGCCTAGCAAGAAACTATGTTGACATGTCCACATGTTTGAAAATCTGTGAAGTGTCCTCACGTTTGGCTCACAACTGCATTCTCGCATGGATTGTCCTCACGTTCTGACGCGCAATCAATTCAAGTTCTCGCATGGGAGCATCCTGCCCGTTTCTGTTAAAATCGAGCTTTCACCTGCAGCGTCCTGATATCTTGCCTTGAAATCGAGGTATGGAACGTACTGACGTGTCGCCTTGAGATCAAGGTGTCTTGTGGAGGGTTCTGACATTTTGCATGGACATTGGGCTCTCGTGTGGAGATTCCTACTACATTTTGAAATTCAGCTCTTGTGATGTACTGGTTTATTCTGAAACTCAGTACAACGTTCCTTGTAGTAGCAGATGGGGAATTGCTTCAGAAGAGTGCAAAAAATACTTAGGATGAGTATGTTTTGTGGTTGTAGGATACTCGAATTGAGATATGTAGGGTTTAGCATTCAGGGCTGCGTCAGTCTTGAAGGCTAAGCCACCAAACAACCACGCGCTAAGAACGTTTTCACGGTCCTCACCGGGATTTTTGTTGCCCAAACTTGCCTTGAGTGATTTTTCGTTTTGGAACTTGGATTTTTAGAGTTTCCCTTCTGTAACGTTTGAAACATTGCAGCCTGCCACCCCCAATCTCTTGACCTTGAGCAACCCCAGCTCAAACCCTAAACCCTTAACAATTCGAAGCGAAGCCCAAACCCTAAGCAACCTCCCAGCAACCCCCAACCCTTGAACAACCCCAGCTCCTAGACCCTACACAAACTCTAAGCTCTCGACAGACTCACACCCTGAACGACCAACAGTTCTAAATCCCTAACTCCTTAACCTTAAACAAGCCCAGACCCAAAAATCCCAACAATCAGAAGCGAAGCCCCAAATCCTCGAAGCCCTACACCCCAAACAAACTCTGTACCATCGACAGCTGCACGCCCCGAACGACCAACACCTTCCAAAATCAAACCTTCAACAACCCCAAACCCTGAACCCTAAACAATTCGAAGCGAAGCCCCAAACCAAAAGCAACCCTGATCCGTCAGGAACCCCCACCCCCGAACCCTAAATAACACCAAACCCTAGACCCTAAACTCTAAACCCTCGACAGCCCCACACCCTCAGCGACCAAGACCTCCCAAGCCGCAAATCTTAAACAACCCCAAGCCCTGAACCCTAAACAACTCAGAGCGAAGCCCCAAACCCTAAGCAAAACCCTGATCCCTCAGCAACCCAACCCTAAACCCAAGCCGAACCCAATGCGTAGATCCTAAACAAATTCTAAACCCTTGACAACCCCCCGGAACAGCCAACAGTTCCCAAACCCTAAACCTTAAACAGCGCCAAACCCTAAGACATACAGACTTTGAATTGAAGCGAAGCGCCCCAAACCCTGGGCAACCCTTAGCAACCCCAACCCTAAACCCCAAACAACCCCAAGGCGTAGACCTTAAACAAACTCTAGACCCTTGACAGCCCCACACCCTCAGCGACCAAGACCTCCCCTAGCCCCAAATCTTAAACAACCCTAAGCCCCAAACCCTAAACAACTCAGGGCGAAGCCCCAAACCCTAAGCAACCCTGATCCCTCAGCAACTCGACCCTAAACCCGAGCCGACCCCAAGGTGTAGACCCTAAACAAATTCTAAACCCTTGACAACCCCCCGGAACGACCAACAGTTCCCAAACCCTAAACCTTAAACAGCGCCAAACCCTAAGACATACAGACTTTGAATTGAAGCGAAGCGCCCCAAACCCTGGGCAACCCT